TTCCTCCAGCTGCTGGCGCCCGGGGGATGCAAACACCTGCACACGTTTCGGCCGCCCTCAGGTTTGGGCTTTTGGGGAGCTGGGGGGTGCTGGGCTCCAAGGCTGGGTGCAGAGGGGTGGGCAGGGTCCAGCCTGTCCCCCCTTTCCTGCCCTGGAGGTTGTGGGTCCTGCCACCCCAGCAGCTCTGCCCTGTGTTTGTGCCACCCTTAGGTACTGAGCAGGGGGAAATGTGGGTCTGGATGTCCCCCAGGGTGGGTCTGGGGTCCTCGTGGCCCTGTGCACCCCTTACACTGTTGAGAGTCTTCCTGCAGGGTCCCCCGAGGCTGTTTACCTGCTGGCAGCAAGCGCGGACGGGGACTGGCTTTCGGCCTGCGGGCCCTTACACTGTTGAGAGTCTTCCTGCAGGGTCCCCCGAGGCTGTTTACCTGCTGGCAGCAAGCGCGGACGGGCACTGGCTGGCTGCTGTGGGTGGGGACTGGGCCATCCACATCTACAACTTGAAATGCTTCAAGGTAGGAGCACCCCGCTGCCCTCCTTCCCTTGGAGGCTGGGAAGGGTGGGCTTGACATATGAGACCCCTCCCTGGCAGCCATTAGGGGTGGGGGCGTTGGAAGGGGGCTCAGAGGCAGTTGCTCTGGTCACCACGCTGTCCCCTCCCTTGCAGCATCACTGCACGGTGCCCACCTACAGCTGCGCCGTGACGGCCCTCGCCATCCACCCCCTCACCAACAACCTCGTCATCGCCTACTCCGACCAGCAGGTAGGAAGGAGCTCTCCCAGTTTCAGCCCTCCAGACCCTTCCCCACGGCTCCCTCCCTGGCCCTGGGTTGTCCCGGTGCCTGGTGAAGCAGCTTTCCCCTCTGCAGCTGTTCGAGTTCAGCATTCCCGAGAAGCAGTACACGGCCTGGAGCCGCGCCGTGCAGAACGGGGGGCTGCACCGGGCCTGGCTGGAGAGGGACACGCCCATCACCCACATCGCCTTCAACCCCAAGAACCCCTCACACATCCTGCTCCACGACGTCCACATGTTCTGCCTCCTCGACAAGTCCCTGGTGAGCCCAGCAGGGCTGTGTTGGTGCCCAGGGCATCCCCCCTGCCCCGCTGCCTGTCCCCACTGCTGTGTGTGGCACCAAAGCAGTGGTGACATGTGCTGTGTACTCTCCTGGCAGCCCTTGCCGGACAACAGTGCCCTCCTGATGAACCAGAGCACCCTGAAGCAGCTCCCAGAGACAGCCCGGCAGCGGCAGCTCCACGCCTTCAAGATCTGCAAGAAGTTCCAGGTGGGTGATGGTGTCGCTGGGCACGGGCTGTGTCCGTATGGGGGTGCTGGAGGGTGCCCTGTGCCCATAGTCCCTGGTGCCATTTGGCTTCTGTCACTTCAGCAGCACCTGAGTCATAGAGTCAGTCTTTTTTGTTGGAAAAGACCTTTAAGATCATCCAGTCCAACCATTAACACAGCACTGCCAAGGCCACTATTAACCCATGTCCCTCAGCACCACATCTATGTGCCTTTGAAACCCCTCCAGGGATGGGGACTGCTCTGGGAAACCTGGGCCAGGGCCTGACAGCCCTTTCCAGAAAGAAATTGTTCCCAAGATCCAACCTAAACCTCCCCTGGCACAACTTGAAGCTGTTTCCTCTTGTCCCATCACTTGTTCCTTGGGAGAAAAGACCAACCCCTGCTGGCTCCAATCTCCTCTCAGGCAGCTGCAGAACCAGGTCTCCCCTCAGCCTCCTTTTCCCCGGGCTGGACACCCCCAGCTCCCTCAGAGGCTCCTGCTCAGACTTGTGCTCCAGCCCCTTCCCCAGCTCCACTGCCCTTCTCTGGACACGCTCCAGCCCCTCCATGTCCTTCCTGTCATGAGGAGCCCAGAACTGACCCCAGGATTGGAGGTGTCCCCTCACCAGGGCCCAGCACAGGGGAATGATCCCTGCCCTGCTCCTGCTGAGCACCAGAGCTTGGTCTCTGTCCCCGACACGGCGCAGCCATCGCTCTGGTCCCGTGGGCTCCGGTTACTGGCAGCTCCCGCAGCGCAGCCCTGGCTCCATCCCTGGTTCTTGGCTCAGCTGGAGCTGCAGGTCCTGGTGAGCTGAGGTTGAGGGGGGCCAGGACCCCCCTCCCAGCTGCCCCTCCTTGCCCCCAGCCCCTACTCTTTGCCGACATGCTGGACGAGAACTGCCTGGTGATGGTGGAGCGGCCCATCATGGACATCAAGACCCAGCTGCCGCTGCCTGTCCAACAGAAGAAATTTGGCACCTGAGAGCAGGACAAGCTGCTCCACCTGCAGAAACTGTTGGTGTGGCTTCTCCAGGGTGGAATAAACCCTGCTTTTCTGTATGACTGCGGGCTGGGGGCTCGTCCTTCCCCTGCAGGGCTCCCTGCAGTCACAGCAGCAGGACAGGTTGCCACTGGCCTGACCGGGGGACACTGCTGCCCTGTAGGGATGTCCGTCCTCCTGGTAATGACGCAGCACCTTGGATGTCCTGCCTGCCGTGCTGGACAGTGTCTTGTCTCCCTGTTGGCTTCTCCAGCCCTCCCAGTAACACCAGTACCTCATTTCCAGTTTGCACTTACACCTTCTGTTGCAGGACAGAGCGGGATGATTAGTGGTGAAGTCTGGCTGTGCTGGGAGGGAGTAGGATTTGGGGGGCCATACCAAGGAAGGGGTGGGATTTTGGGGCGCCCTACGCTTTGAGGGCAGTACCAGGGTGTGTGGAGTGGGATGTGGAGGCCAAGCTGGGAAGGAACAGGACTGGGGGCCTCCCCGTGCTTTGGGGAGTGTGCCAGCAGCAGGACCTGCAGCCTCCCCACGTTTTGGGGTCCATACGGAGAGGCAGCAGGTTCCCCATGTTTTCCTTTCCCCTCGCCACCCCGAGGGCCCCTTTGCGCAGAGGGGAAAATCGGGGGCTGTAGGACGCGCCCCCCTGGCGAGAAGATGGGGGAGGAACTCGGGGGGAGCGGGGCTGGAAAATGGAGGGCGGGGCGCGGAATAAAGCGCGGGGTGGGAAATCCCTCGGGGGGGCGGGGTCTCCCTGCC